CTTAAATTTTAAGAGTATTTTTTGCATCAGAAGATAATAACCTTCAAGAATTTTAAAAAAGGGTGTAAGTCTGAAAACAACATCGTCACAGAAATTATTCCTCTGTTTCATCATTTATAGCTTGGAGGACATAATAACAAAACCCATAAATGCAAGACTTTTTTTTACAGCTTGCTACTCGTGATCTTTGATTAGCAATTGCTGCTGTATTTTCAATTAACATTGTATAAAACATTTTATAATATCACTTTCCATGCAAGCAGGAAGAGTGAAACCTTTAAAAAGCTGGATATATATGGTGAATTAATATTTATTGTCATGTATTGAAATAAGTTTCTTTCAGATACCCTCTTTGACCAACACTCTCATCTGCAGATGTTAAAAAGGTAATGCAGAAGCCAGATTCTTCTAGATTTAATTTACAAAGTGCCTGCTATGGCAGTTGGCAATAATTTTGATACAAGATCAAGTAACACAGCTTCAGTTATATTTTTTGTATGAAAAGAGACAAATCTTCAGCTGATGTCCTGAGTTAGGCTGTTTTATGAGTGAGGATGTAGCTCACCGTGGGACAGTCAGCTTCTTCCCCCACCCCAAGGTCCATGTCTTTGCAGTGTATTGCAGTGCAGGCTGTTGGCTGGTACTGAACAAGTATGGGTAGAAGCAGAAAAGAATGTAAGTTGTTCATTTTCACAAGGAAACCACTTCATGTTCATGGAATATTTTGCTGCAAGGATTTGATGTATTTCTCCCAAACATCCTAGATAGGATACTTTTTTTTTCCAGACTTTGGGTGGAGTAAGCTTCTCCAGTTACCTGGTGGTCTTGAACAGCACGCAGATCCGTTCAACATAGTTAATTTAAATTTGTGGTAATTGCCTTTCTGCATCACTTCTCCTAATAGCCATGTGCATCCTTGGCAAACATTTTAACAAGTGTACTTATAAGTAAAGTTTAGCTTTGGTTTTAGCGGTTATTTATAACCTCATGTTCAAGTAAAAGGGTAAATCTTGATGAGCAGACATTAATGATCCCTGATTAAGATCATACAGTTTCTAAATTGACTCAAATGCCTAAAGCATTTGTTATTATTTTTTTATTATTATTAATACTAAAAATAAATTCAGATCTTGTTTCTGATTCTCTGGTATGTATTACCGCTATCTCTGGATAGCTGTGTATTATTTTAAACCCTCATGCTCCCTGGTGTGGCATTTTCTTTTTTTTCCTTGGATTAACACAGGAATCCCTAACGTGGGATCTGAGCTGTTGCCAAGGCAGCGCTCTGCATTTCATGCTCTGCATGAGGAAGAGGAGTGCTGCATTCTATGGGAACAGTGAGGAAGCAGCAGGTCTCTGCTACTTCTATATGGTGCCTCAGATCCACTGGAACATCTTCCTTCCTCAGAGCAGCTCTAGGTCCAACACTGCCAAGAACTGGGCCTAGAAAATAGACTGCAAATCCCAAAGTAGCAGGATTTGATCTAAAATGAAGTAACATAATTGGCATACTTGGCCTCTGTCATTACTTTCCTTACTGTGGTATTTCTAACTTTCTAGGTTGCGTAACTACTTTGAAGAGCAAAAGGCAGAGACATCCGTGTTGGTCATCAAAGTATCTCAAACCTTGGAAACTGCTTATAGTTCATTCTGACTTGCTTGAGATACATACAGAAGGCAAGTGTCCATTAGAAAAGTTAGAATTTATATTTTAAAATTTACATAGATGACATGCTATTTTTACTGATACTTCTTTCTAGATGATTTCAAATTACCTTAGAAATTGATAGGCTGGTGCAGTCCTACATCTTATATAAAGACTAAGAGACAAAGCCAAAAGGTTACTAACGATTGCTATTTATTTTGTTAAGTCAATAAAAAGTGCATAGTACAAGCCCTTTATCCCAATCCAAGTACTCAGTAAAAGATTACTAGGAAACCGCAAATGGCACAGATGATTTTTTGTTTGGCGTAATTCAGACATTTTAAACCACCGATTTACATTAGGTACATCACATCATCACTCTTCCTTTTTCAATCATGAACATTACAAGGCTAAGTGATCTGCAGACAATACATGAATACATATGATTTCTCATTTCAGAGTATAATAATTGTGTTAAGCAGACTCTAAAAATACTATTGTTTTAACAAAGTTCTAAGCTAAGGTATAATTGTAAACTTCCCTCCCTACTTCCCAAGTTGCTACAACTTGCATCTCTTACTAACCAAGCTTAAAACCCTCATTACGGAATTAATCATATCCTGAAGCTTCACATACCACTAATCTCTTCCACACTTCTTTGCAAAATTTACCATAAACATCTGTAACCATGATACAATTATTTCATCGCAAACTACATCACTAAAGGCCAGATTTCTGCCACCCTTACTAAAGCTGCTACTAGTACATTATCTCAAAGTAGTCCCACAAACTTCAGTGCAACTACTTGATGAGTAAGGCACTATTTAACATGAATAAGAGTGGCAAAATACAGTCCTACAATTAGTTACTCTTATTTTAATTAAGAGTGGTGATCTGAAGGTTACATCTTGGAGAGATTATCTGAATTTAAAAGGCATACATTTTGACGTGGGATAGTGGCCTGGCTCTTTAGTAAAACATTTTACAATAAAATATTTCCAATGTTTTTTCTTTTACATAGAAAATTTAAAATAGCAATTTACATGAGGAAAGCATACACGTATAAAATCACTGGGACAATTACTTAGAAGAATTTCAAGCAAAGACAGTTCATTTAAATGTAAAACACAACATCACTCTGAACAAAAAGTTCATTTGCCAAGACTGTTAGAGCTGGGTGTGCATGGTGAGCTTTCTAAATGCATACACCGACATTTAAGTAAAGCGAGACTGATCCTCCCAAGTGAGGAGCATCTGCCGTAAATCTCACCAGCTTCCAACAGGATGAGGAGTGGCGCTCTGTCTGAAACGAAGCCTGCTTCAGTTGGCTTTTTAATCGGCTGGAAGCCTGTTTTATGCATCCAATAGTGAAGAATCCTGGCCAAAAATTCTTGGAGAAAAGGTCATTGTAGGAGATTATATATATTTTCTTGTTGCTTCAACAAAATGACGCTGTATTACTTGTTCTATTCAAAACAGTGTCCCAAACATAAATGCACACAGAAGGCAAAAAGCAAGCACAGTCAGATCACTTGTCCCAGTGTCATCTTTACACAGTGTTTGTGGCCTGTACACCATTAGACATAATAGGACAAATTCTCTCAGCTCCTCTGCTGCAGCTCCATTGCTTTACATGGCACTGCACTGATGTCACTGAGAGCACCTGGCCCAATCTTAGTTTTTTTAATTTTTGTTTTTTATTTTTTAACACATGCTCCTATGCTCTGGAGCACACTATTCCACAGAAATTCAAAGGGCAGTTACATCAAATTACAGAAGCCTTTCTTCAGGTCTACGCTGTACCTTTACAAGGAGGCTTAGCTGGCCTGCCATTTACCCTGAGGAGGAAAACCCTGCGTCTGTCAACCATGGGATCTGATGTGAGATTTTTGTTAGAGCCCATTAATACAAACCTTTATGCATCTTAACAGTTAGTCCCTTCAGCTCTGTAACTAAAGTCCTCATGAAATAAAGGTTTGTAGAGTAAGGCTTTGAATTCCCATACGTCTGTTCTACTGACCTTTACGGAAAGAAGCTTCATGTTGGTAACATAAAAATGTTCTTTACATTATTCTCATCAATTTTTCAAATTGATCAAGAAAAATATACAGTGTTGCTTTTCTGTACATCTTTAAAAGGTTCTTAAATTAATGTACATAAAAAAGTCATTCCCACTTGCTACAATGGGAGATGTGCACAGGCACGTGCACAGCCACACATACACACACATAAACGCACCACACATACACAAAAATATTAGAGGGGAAAGACATGCCATATGTAGTCACCTGCAAGTTTGTTATTCTACAATTACAACCAGTAGATAAGGATGAAATGTTAAGAATTGCTGATAACATACAGGTGAAAAAACCTGAATATCCAGTATATGTTGTATACCAAAAGTTAGTAACCTCTTGGTATGACTTCATCCTGTCCAATATACATTACATCATGGCTAAAAACTTGTTAAGATACCAATTATTAAAAGACTATACCAGGACAGAAAATCCTACCAAGTTCTTCTCACTAAATTTCTCTTTTCATAAAGTCTATAAGTAAACAAATAAATTTTTGGAATACTTTTTTTTGACAACACATTGAATAAGATATATAATTTATTAATCAGCAAGATTAAATTAATTTCTTTTTTGGTGGTATAATCTTTTGTGTAAAGTTCCCAATATATATGTCAAAGCTTTGACAGTGGCAATTATCACATTCACTTCTTTACGCGTGCGCGCGCACACACACGCATATAGTATAATTGTAGTGGACAATCCATGTTTTTGCCAACAACCCTGAAAACTATGTTAGTGGTCCAATGACCAGACTAAAAGCTGCTCTGAACCCAGGGCAAATATAAAATAATTTCAATTTTTCACCACATAACTAAGCTAATAGTTGCAACCATAATATAACTCTCAAAAGCATACTGGAGAAAAAATATGGATTAATCTGAAGGAAGGTCAGTAACCTTCCATTATTATAGATGCACAGGGATTTTCTTTTTCTTTCAATGCATATTAGAAATCACTGCAAAGAAATTAAGATCATTGTAATAGAAAGAGACTGAGTGGAATGTCCACAGTAATGGTAACAACCAAAAAACCCCTGCAACGCCTTATCATTATTCAAATTGCAATCTACTAGGAATTGTAATAACATACAAAGCAAAAATTAACTTGAAATTGAAATCACTAAAAGCAGTTCATGAAGGGAACTGCTGAATGGTAATTCTGCTCCATATAAATGAGAAAAGAAAGCAGTATTGAACGGGGTTTAGGAGTAATCTGGTCACTTCGTTCATTTGGTCGTGCTAGGTTTTAGCTGCTGAACTTTCCCAATGCTGAACGCTCTAGTCCACTGGTGGGGCTGGTGGTTCTTGTCCCTAGGGGGATGGAAGGAGGAAAAAAAAAAAAAACAAAACAAAAAAACAACCCACGTATAGGATTAGGAACAGTGCTTCACATAAGAGGATTTAGCAGTAGAAGAATTCAGAAGAGTTACATTGTGCTTTAAGATCTTTCAGTATCTCTTTCAATATTCAGAGTAAATGAGCATCAAAGAACAATACCATTTCCTGCATCGATAGGGATTTTTCCATGATCCCACATCCAGGACAAAGATCACCTTCCTAGTTTCATGGTGTAATTTTGTTTACTGACTTCTCTAAAAGCTGTGATTTTCCTCTTGTACATAAGAAGGCAGGAGGCAGCTCCAACCAGGGACAGCCGGTGTCCAGAGGACACTATCCCACATTCAGTCATCCCTGCCTGCTCCATCCCATGGCAAGCCTTGGCAAGCCACGAAGTTGGCCTTCGTGATTCTACTTTCACTTTGGTTTTACTCATTTTCACTGTTAATGGAGCTCCAAGAAAATACAGGGGGAAAAAAAGTAAGGAAAAAATGACTGTAAGATAGTGTGTATTAAAACCAAATACACTTAAGCTACTGTAGAGTCTCTGCAGGGCACTTTCAGACGCACTTACGTTATGTGGGCTGGTTGGCTTTCCGGCTGTGTTGGATCCTCTCAGATTACTAGGTCTCAGTAAGAACAAGACAAGTGCAATCACCACCCAGGCCATCATTATCATGGCAAAGCTGATGCCATTGTCACTGGAGGAATTTGGTCCTGGCACTACAGACAAGGAAAACTTAAGTTATAACACAGAGTGACAGAAGAGTTCTTTCCCCAAAATGAAAACAAAAATGCAACATGAGTCTCACCAAAAAACCCCCTGAAGTATTTTTCAATTGAGTTTTCTGATCAGTCCTTCCTTTTGGCTTTGAAACAAGTAATTCTTGGTTAGTGTTACACTGTTTCTTTTATCACATTTCTTATCCCTTTGAAAAGAGAATCTATTTCATAATTTTTCACTGGAATTCTCAGAATTATCATGAATATTTCTTAGTTCACATTAACTCCTAATGAACTGAAGGCGATAAACACACGCGTTGTGTTTAAGAAATCAAACTTGATGCAAAATATATTTATCTAGGAAAAAAACCCATCTGTATGTTAGTGTTCATTTTTTGCCTCTAACAAATAAAAGAATAAGACTAAAAAGATGAAAGCTCACACTCCGTTGTTAGGCCCCACACAGAGAACACGCTAATTCTAGTAAGAAGGGAGCAAACTAATGGTTATAATTTTGTTGGCTACTGTAAATTATATATTGAGAGTTCAAACAAGCGTCAGTGTCAATATGCCAGATCTCCATGACTGATCATCCAGGTCATGTGCTATTTCTGATAGCATCAAGGAAAACATAGCTGTCAGGAGGGGCCAAAAAATGCTGAGGAGATACAAGGAGAAGTGAAGCCCAGGAATGCAATATAAAAATTTTACACCTAATTTCCATACAGAACAGCTGAGACATCAAAGCATGGAAATAAAACTGAGAAAATCCCCTCAGACTGGAGATGGCTGGTCGGACTTTTTGGATCAAGAAACTCTTGCAAATACGTGCACCTTTGCAAAGAACAACTTTTCTCCGCTGAAATATAACTTCTAATAATTAAACTGCAACTAATGTTGTCAGCTGAAGTGTAAACCAACGTATATTTAATTACCTATGGTACTTACACGGCTTCATTTACAATAGTATCTAAAGACCTAACATCTTCATTAATGATCTAGATGATCAATTAATACAAAGCTATAATGAATAACCTTCAGAAAGAGAAGAGCTATTCTATTTTATTACACAAGTTCAAAACTTTAACTTCTGGAGAAATTCCACAGAGACACCCATATCCATCAGATTTTTTCAGTTAGCTCATTTGGATCATCTCATTATTCAGTCAAGTCTGGATTCAGTTCGAGTTGGAAGTTGTTCTTATTTAACATTTGCTAGATACCCAGCGAACTGTTGGAGTCAGTTATTTCCTTGAAGGTTAATGCTGATACCAAAGAACCATCCCCATCACTGTTGCACTGGATAGCGCTTTTAATGGAGGTTCTTCTGTGAAAGTGGTTTCTTCATAACACAGCTAAGACACAGCGGAGGGGCTCCGTGGGGAAGCTCACAGCTGCACCAGTCACAACGCTACCCTTCTGTGACTAAGGCTTGGGGCTGTTGGACTGATGTTCTTTACTGACATCACATGCACTCAAAAATACCAAAGAAGAAGAAAAGATGTATTATAGAAGTTCATGGTTCTCAAAGCACAAACACCACCATTAACTTGTATGAGCAAATGAAACTGCCATACAGCTCTTGCCTTTTACAAGTCCAAAACACAGACATTTCAAAACTCGAGAAGCTGCTAATGTAGAGGAATTTTATGATTAGAAGTATATACAATTACAAGTGACAATTCTTTTAGAGATCTGAGTGAATAAAGGGTGATGTATAGGGGAAGATATAGTGCGAAGAAAATAAATGAAAATGCTACAGCCTCCAATTCATTAAACTCTAACATATAATTGATTCAGAAGGCATATGGAATTGTGCACGTAAGAGTTTAGACCTGCAGTTGTGTTGAGGGAAAATATTATCAACATGATATATCAAATATTTTAATTTTTGGATGACTTCTATATATGCAATCCAGTGAAGTAGCGTATAATTCAGCATGAAAAGAACAACTGCTTTATTTTGGGGCTTCCAGACAACATTAGTAGCCACCCTGAGACTACCTTTAGCAGCACTTAAGACAGCCTTAGGTACCTGCTTTGGCAGTAGAACACTGAAAATTCAGATCACCTGTTAAGCTGGATTCCCCATACAATGCAGAGAAACAGTTATAGGCTGTCCTCTGGAATTTTTGCTGAACCATAGTATACTTAGGGTCCATGGTTAAAAAAGAGTTGGGGTAAGTCAATGCTGCTAGGTCAGCTCATGCTACAGGTCAAGGAAGGGAGCAGAAGGAACTATAGAGGAAAACCACAGGGGTTTGCGCAAGAGACAATTTCTATCCAGCCTGAGTTGTAATACGGTTTGGATGGAACCAAATGTGCTGAAACATGTTCTAAACTAAGTTAAGCGAGACAACAGCTTGATCCCGTACTACCTACTCAAAGCATGCCAGATACTAGAACAGCCACAACACTGTTTACGCTATTCAAGTACCATTAAACCCACATCTCTAACAAATGACCATGTGTTTTAATAAGGACGTGAGATACTTCAGAATCTGTTACTTTAATCTCCTGACATAAGGAGATGAGGATAAGCAAAATCTCACATAGCTGGGGTGAATCACACTTTTCAAAGCTTTGCATCACAAATCAAGAGAACAGAGAAGAAGCTGTTTTAGCTACTGGGAGCAACACTATGTAGAAGATGACAATCTTTTGCTATAAAGACCTCCATCACTGAGATCACAAAATATTCAGATAAAACCAGCTTATGGATAAAGAATAGTTGAGTGAAGCTGAAACCAAGCAGGATGGAATTTATGCTGATGGGCAGAAGAAAAAATCTTATTTTTAAAAGTTCACAGCCACAGTGCTTTTACCTATAATTGATATTTTTGCAGGTAATTTAGAAGTGGTTTTTTGATTCCTTGAAGAATAATGGCTATCCAATAAGAGCACAAGTGGATGATATTTTTTAATATTTCCAGATGGCTGGAAGATTGTCCTGTTCTGACCTCACAGCTGAATGTCCCTGCCACCATCCATTTTAATGCATGGATCTGCTTATTAATCTCCAGTGCCTGGGAGACACTGACTAGTTCAAAATGTAGCAGTACATATTCCCATGTCACTGAGTGACATAAAAACTTACAGTCTCTAACCTGCCTTTCCGCACAACACCAAATCCAGCCCAAGGTCTTTATTTTCAGAGTATCTGGTGCCCTGGGATCAGCATACCTATATATCCATGTACTTCTGAATGAAGCCTGTGAACAGTTCTGCCCCTCTGCTTACCTGGAATTTTTTTTACACCATGCCTGAATTACCTCTGTGCAGGAGAAGGCTTTATAAGGGGCTGGTCTGAGACTGGGATAAACTTCCATGGGAGCTAATGACTATGGTGAATCCTATCTGTTGCTCCACATAGGAGATACAGTTCTTTGGTTTGCTTTTTCCTACAGAAACACAGACTAAGCCACATAAACTAGTCTTCTCTTAGAGAGAAATGGGAAGGGAAAAAATAATCTTCTGTGACAGAAGATTTGCCACCTCATTTAATGTTCTACTAGAAGGCAGTCAAAGCTACTGAAATGATGAGTTTGGTAAAAATAATTTCTAAAGATTAAAGGTCAACCATCTCCTGGTTGTGCAACTGAAATCTCAAAAATACAATATTAAAATTAATAAATGCCCTTGTTAAATACTCCTTACATGAACTTAGTTCTCTTAAAGTGCTATTTTTCATTCAGAGTGAGGTTCTACTCTAAAGAAAAAGAGGAAATATTGCATTTCTTTTACTGCTAAAGTATATTCCCCATGGTGCTTTTGGTCTGCCCTCTCATGGCAGAAATATCTCCTTTTGGATCTTCAGCTTTTTACTGTTTAACATCTGCATGTGGGAAGACAAAAGCATGCTCTCTAATTTGTGCCTTCTTTTCAGTTTCTTTTTTTCAGCCTTGCCTGTTCTGTGAAAGAAAGGTAGGAAACCATATGAACAGAGGTATCTTACAGATGAATCATCAGAGGAGACAAAGAGCCTGGAGATCTTCAGCAGACACTCTCAAAGGCAGGGATAAGGAAACTGAAGAAAGCCCAAAAGGACTTGAGCGGAGGAAGGGAGAAGGGAATTACCAGAAAGGGGAGGGAAGAGTTGGCAGACATTTCATGCAGTTAGGTTAGGCTGCTGTGACTCCCCTAGATGAGTACAACTCAAGATGAATCACTGATACGCGTTCATTTTTAAATACATAAAAATTTGGAAGCAGAGTAGACAGTATTTGAGACAGTCATCTCTGACCATATTACAAGCTAGCAGAGCACCGAGAATAGTGTTGCAAATATGAATCCAGGTCACAACATCTGGGAATTGCTAGAACACAGAGAAAAAACTCAGGTGATGGCTCCTCATTTCCTTTGACATGAAGGCTGACTGCAAAGGACCATGAGCCATCAGAACAGCTCAGTAGACTTCAGAGAAATCTTCCCTGCTCCACTTGCATTAGTCAGAATTCAGAAAAAAATTATCACTCTTATTCCTCATTTCAAGGGAAACTGTAAGATCTTCTGAGTTTTGGCAGGAAACTCTCTGCAGGGTAGTCACTACAGTATAATGGTGCCAATGACCATAAATAAGAATTTAGGGCTAATTAAAAAAATACGAATGAGGGAGCCTTGGTGCTACTGCTTTGATCTGGCTCCAAAAATCTCAAAAAGATCTGAAATCAAGGGTTGAAAAAATAAAGTGTGCTCAGGAAGAATCAATGCAGGGTGTTTCTGAGAACTTCCAGCTGGTAGTGACAGCATAACATGACGCTGCCGTGACACTGGCTGAAACACAGCCATGACATTTCCCAAAACAAAACCACATACATCTCATCAGTTATTCCACAACCTTGCAACTTAAGAATCTGTGTATGACAACATTCCCAGCTGCGCTTCCAGAAGGAAGACCAAATTCTGGGAATGAGCAAATGGGTGGGAGTGAAACAAGCTTTTTCATATCAAGGTCCTGAAATGAGGAATCAAAGTCAGCAAGTAACAGGAAATGGAGCTGTGGGACCTAGGGAAGAGGAGACCCACCTCAAAAATAAGCTCATCAGAACAAGATGAAGCAATGGACAGAAGACTGGCCCAGACTTGTTTTAATCTGTCTCTGAAAACATCTCTAGAAGCTTCTCCAGGCTCAATCTGTTTGTTTTTGCCTTTGACTCCTGGGAGTCTTACAGAGCTCATGTTGACCCAGGCACAGAATCACAGAAGCATCACAAAATAATCTGACAAATAGGCAGTCAGTGTCGTTGCATCAGCAGAAAAATACCTTTGCTGGAACTAAATTTAAAGCAATATAATAACGTAGGAGAGGATTTACTCTATAATTTTTGCTTTGGTTTTTGAAACAAACCACTGGTTTGGAACAATTGCTGCCAAATTGCTTGCATCTGCACAGACAGTTATTGCAAGGATCTCTTTCAGGATGGAAAGCTATTTGCCACAAACCATTCACATCCCCACTGTACTATAGCTTGGTAGCATGAAAGCTATCCCACAAGCTTTGTGCCCACACATAACAGAACTTGCTCATTTATATAGTCTTTACCCTAAGAGCTTCATAAATATTGATGAGCCAAGACTCCCAAGGCTTGGGTGAGAATGACCTACCATCGCTTGGTTTTGACTGTGGACTAAAGCTCAGAAAGCTGCACTTCTAATACAGAAAATATTCTGTCTCCTGTCACCTGCCACTTTCCCTCCCCTACATGCCTATGAATTAAAAAAAACCCCAGACATAGAAGCCTAAGGTGTGGGAGATGAAAAAGTCTGCCCTATGACAGGTGTATTTGGGAGGGGAGGGGTGCTGGAAGTCACAGACACACAGCATAACTTGGAAAGCCCTTAAAGAAAGAGTAAAGCCAGCAGCACTGTTATGGCACATGTGCACTCCACTTTTTTTTCAGGGGTTATATGGGAAATCTCATAGCTTTTCCCATTCAGCCCACCATGGCAATGAATCTGGGCCTGTTTCACACTGGGAGGTCACAGTGCAAGTCCAAGCTAGATGCCCATCTCTAAACAGGTTTTACTGGGGAGCGAAGAGGGAGGAACATGAGACTGAATGAAGGCAGCATGCCCTCTCCCCAGGATCCTGGAAACCTTGACTGCCCTGCTCCTAAACCTGTAGAAGACACAGGCACCAGCAGCTCCTGCTTCCAGGAACACTGCTCAGGTGCTCTCTGCTCCCTCCGGGCATTACAGTAGTCTTGATGCAAATTGAGTGAGATCATATGCTCAATTGGTAAAGCAATATAAGAAAACCAGATCCACTTCATTTTTATTTATAACCATTTGGCGATGTTCCCTCTAGACCATGAAAAGTGTAAACAGAGCGCCTCAGGGCAAGCTTACATTACTGCATAACCTCTGCACAGCTATGCTTCCCTGCAGATGCTGGTAACGTTTGACTGTTTTAGTTATGTTCACCATTTGGGAGAGTTTTTTGGATATATTTCGCAGCAGATTTCAAGGAAGTGTACACATCAGTACTCTGCTTCATTAACTACACAGCCACCGAGTCAAACAGAAAGGCAGTCACAGTGTATATCAACTTATCAGTCAGAGCTGGTAGGGAATCACCTCCCCCTCACAGTGGAGTAGAGGGTTCACAGTACTGACAGTAATTACTCAGCTCCAGCCACGAACAAGTGTACATGTGGGGGTCTGTGCTGAATATCCAGCCTTCACTGGTTAGGCTGCTATGACTGTAAGGAGGACAAATAAAGCCCCCTCCAAATTTTCTCCTTAGAGAAAAATTGAAATTATCCATTTGGAGGCTAATGGTAAGATTCAGTAATACTTGGGGCCCAATGAATAGTCCTGCTGGTATATTGATACCTCCAGCCTGCTCACCATTGCCGCTTCCATACAATGCTTCCAACGTACCACTGTTAATCTGCATCACAGATACTCAGAAATTACCTCCCCCGCATAACAGTTTTAGTACTGTGGTATTTGATTTTGTGTAATATGTTCCTGTAACATTAAATCAACAGCTGCATTTTAAAAACCAGTAAGACTGTATTTTAATTACTACTGTTTATTTTACTTCCATGCACCTGATCTCGATAGTTACTCACGTTCCTGAAGGCATTCTGTGTCTGTGCAGTATGACTGGGATTGTCTCAGCTGAAACAGAGAAAAAGAAAGGCATGACACTTAGCAATGAGACTTGGTCACCTTTTACCAAAACTGTGACTTAGCACAATGTCAGAGCACAAGTTTGAGATAAGGAAGATTATAACTGATTCTTCACGCCATCACACTTGGCTTATGGTGTGTGGAGAATCCCAGGTATGGATGTAGTTTCTGAACACTATTTACAAAATACCTTTAAATCACCTGACTAAAGTGCTATTGCTTCCACACAGGTTGCAGCCACCGAATACCTTTTAAAATTCAAGTTAAAATACTATAGTGATATAGACATTGTTAGATACAGATATGCTTTCTATGCACATTTTGGGATTTATAGTGGATAGGTGTTACTATTATTATCTAGATTGAGTAACATTAAGATACTCTGTGATTACATAACAATAAATGATCAGAATGTGATAATGGTTATGCACAGAGAAGCTGAATTAAAATTTCATATTTAAACTGAGCAATTCCTATTTTTTCCACCTAAGATCTTTTTTTAAAGGCAGATTTCAATATGTATTTTACTGATTTTTCTTTTTCTGATGGGGAAAAATTTAAAGTGCTTTTAGCAACTGTAATGACTATTTGCATTTACAGACTAGGTAAGCTTGCTAACTGCAAGAAAAGTCAACACTGGATAACCTGCAAATCAGTATAACTGTTTTACAGATGACAGAGTCAAAAAAGAACGGCAAATATCACATTCTTTATCAGACACAGAGAGGTTAAATGGATAGGATTTAATCTGCTCTATTATGGAAATAGGTTCTTCCTCTGCTTAGGTAAACTACACTGATTAATAACAAAAGTTGTTAAAAGTACAAAATTGTTACAATGCCTTGGTTGGAACTGACATTTGCTTTTTGACAGGTTTTACATCACAGTAGTGTCACAAATCTCAACACTTCCTGTCACAACAGGCTAATCTGTTTATTATCAGCGTAAATATATACAAATGTAAAAAAGAAGAAAAGATTATGTTCCTCATGAAAGAAATACGTGAATAATTTCTACAAACCCAATTTCCCCTTGTATTGGCATAACTGATTTGCTGTAAGTAGTCATAATGTTATGCAAAGCATGTCAAGGAAACAGATGAGCAACCGAAGAAGGAAGACATTTGGAAAAGTTTAAGCTCCTTCCTTTATCATAATGATTTTCAATGACTGATGCATTTGAGAAAGAAAAAAAAATGTAATTGGAGACTGATCACCTTCATTCTTTCATTAATATTAAGATCTGCTAGCAAATTTAGTGAGACTACAAAGAAGTTCCTTAGGAAGTATTGGGAAGGCTGGATTTAACCTTTCAGCTATTTCTACAGTTTAAAAAAACAGTTGGGGAGATTCAAACAAAAGACTTCTACTTACCTTATTAAAAAAAAAAATCTTTCAAACTACGCATATTTCCTGCCCTTCTTATATAAAAGTAAAAGCTCATTTTATTTTCAAACTTTGGGATTCATTCTCAAAGAGGAGGTTTTACATTAGCAATAGTACCGATTTGGAATATCTGACACTGAGAGATTCCTGAACTGGGAAAACTGGATATCACTATACCTACATTTTAAAGAGATCAGCAACATACTTACCTTCTGTTTGTTTAAGGGTTTAGTTCTGGAGGGGGTTTAATTTATAATCCCTACTCTGTAATACACAGCTTGCAGCAACACAGAATGATGCCCAGAATTAAAATGAGTAATAGGTATATGATCAGAAACATCATATAGATCAAGAAGCATATAGCATCTCCTTACGCCTCTGTCCCCAGGATGGCTAGTACTCACACAGCGTATCTAGTTTGCCCAGATAGGAAACACTGCCTTGGAGTGTTCTAGCCACAATATTAGTTATCTCCCATTCTAAGTGTTACACTTTGTCCAAATACAACTTTTTTAAACTCACACAATTAACGTTTCTATAAAAGCCATGTCAAAAAATGGTGCATGTACTTTTTGTTGCTGCTAACATCCTGTTCCTTCACCTGCCTACCAGACAGGCTTCCACTGCTACCATGAAAAAAAAAAAAAGATGGAGCTCCAGCTTTGACTGACATGAATATGTGAACCACCAGAGAAGCTTATTTAACAACAGAAAGATATTGTGGCTACAGCTAGGCCTTTCCTGAAGAGCAGTCTCAGGGGTGACCACTATCACATCACGCTTTGTCCTTCACTGTTCCCTTGACCATTTCTTCATGAAAAGCCTGCACGCTGTCTGGAAATGCCTGTTGATGTAGTAGGCCACCTGATGAAGTCACAATAAGTATTAAATACCTGAGATTTTGTGTGCCCAGAGGTTGCACTGAGATACTGAGTTTAATCCTTCAGGCACCCTTGGTAGCTTCTCAAAAGACAGGACAGACTCCAAGACCTTAGAATCAAAAATACTGCTGGAAGCATCAATGATAGAAATATTACAGTAAGCAAGTAGTCTGAAGAAAAACACCATTAGGAGTTGCTCTACAGATCTCTGCTGAAAAAATGCTCTTATATTATATCCTGCCAATAAGGAAAAAAGTCTGCTTATGTATGGAGGAATGATGTACAGAGGAACCTTTACAAAGCACAGAGCCATCTGTACTTTGTCTGATAATAGGGCTAGGCTTTCCAGAGGGCTTGGACAACAAATACTCCATTTTTTTCACAGGGATTTAGAAACTAACTGTACAAGGTAGGTTTAGAAACCTCAAATTACGTTGTGAAACAGTTCTAAGAGAAAAGTATGAAAACCCTGCATTTTTTATAATTTCTATGAAATTCCTCTAAACTGAAAATAATACCTAATCACATAATCACGCAGATTTAAAGATCCCACCTGAAAAAATGACACTTCATAGTGTCTGCTACATTCATATCCAGCAATACAAATATTTCTTAACTATTCCAGGTAATATAAAAATTTCTTATATAAACTACTTGTGCTGGAGAAGATTTGGTCAGAACAGGACCACTCATAGACTCAAATAGGTTTTAAGAAGCCATAGATCGCATGACAAAAACCACACTCAAATACCTTCACATGCTCACTTCCCCTCCCAACTACAAGCACATGCAAAACATCAGTAATCCATGAGCAGAAGCTCTAGGAGGGCTCTGTAAGCCAGGGTGCCAGGTAACAAATCTGTTTTTAACAGCTCAGTGTCAGGTGGCATATTGTTCTCTTGGGATGAAACATGGCAGGTGATGGAAAACGAGCAGCAGTAAAAACAGATTTTTCTCAATTCACTCAGGTGAACTAGTTCCTAGCTCAATACAAATCTGATCCCTTGCAGTCACCCAATTAGTCAAAAGACGAGAAACGATTCCGGCACGCGTAAGAAATGCTTACGTAAGTTGAATGGCTGGGTAAGGTAATACCCTTTGCTGAAACAAGAATGCTCCTTCTACCAATTAGCTCTCTCTTGGTAACTACACCCTTAAGGGACATACAACTGTTGGAAAAAAATGGAATGTGAGGCATTTCAATCATCAATTCATCATTCAATTATCAGGGTCTGGAAATAAACAGTCCTTTGTATTCAGATTTTCTATTCCGATGTGGAGGGGGAGTTTGGATCCAAGTTTGTGGAATAACAGTAAAAAGTTGAACTAGACCTTCCCTCTTCTCAACAAAACCCTGAAAAAGGCTTTTCAAATACACTCAATGTTTTTCAGACTGGGAACATTACAGAGTTGATGAGAAAAATCTGAATAGAGAAGTAATTCTTAGAGTATGTTAACTCTTACATACTTATGGGCAATATTATTAATGGTGGTTTTGGTTTTATTCATATTTCAGAGATCCTTGTGTTGTCAAAAATGTGAATTTAGTGGAAGATTAATAGTTGACTGCCTGATCTAACACCTGCTAAAGCCAGCAACAGCCTTTTCATGGTTTTCAGTATATTCTGGAACAGGCCCTTAAAAAGAACACAGAAATTAGGTGAGTGAAACAATGGGGCTCATTCAACAAGAGAGTGAAAAATGTTACAAACCTAAATATTTATAGAAATTATTATTTTCTTCCATTTAAATGAAGAGGATTGTATCTGAATTTTAACATTCTCTGTGCAGTTTGTCATCCAAATACAATAAATGGCTTAGTGCATGTGAACCAAAAAATGAACTAATTTATCTTTTATTGTCCAAAATGAAGTAAACACAAATTGTAAATAGCTAAAGGGAGCTAAAAAGGCTCCGAAATTTTCAGGTTTAATACAATGCAAACTTGCAGGCAATGTAAGTCAAAATACCAATTATAAATGCACATTATTTAAAATATAATGGTGAACTTCCCTCCGAGTACATTTAAAATCTTGAATAGCTTAAGTTAAAATAATTTAAATTAATAATCCCCACACCACAAGAACCCTTGGTCAATACGAATATTTGGTTTCAACGAAGCCCCTCAGAAGTTCTTGGAACTGGGAGGCACCAGTGGCTGAATTACAGCAAATCAGTGTCCCCTTACTGACGTATTTTGAATGTAAACCAAACACAATGCCGAGAAGAAAAGAAATCAAGTTACTTCGAGTGGTAAGAGAGAAAGGGGCTTTTCCTCACTATTTCCCCACGACACTGAAATTTTGCATTGCAAAATTAAAAAGAGCACATTTAAAATGGCTCCCTGTTCAAATTTGAAATAGCTCTTCCTTTCTTTTTTTTCCTTCTTCCACAAGACACAGTTTTTAGACCTTCACACTAGCACAACCGTGCTTAGATCCCGCTCCTTTGACACTATATATAAAGAAGAGTTTTAACATGCCATCTTGTGGATCAACAGCACCTACCCATCAAGCATACCTGAAACCTGTGTCCTGCTGCTACTCTTACAACAGATCCTGGTTCTGCTAGGAGCCTGCACGGTTTTTAGCAATGAGAGCCACCGCTTCTCACAATCCCCAGCTGTGAACAAAACGTGAAGAGTCACAGTAAAGGTACACTGCTATTGGCCTCTGGAAACTTTTTTGTAAAGTCACTATATTAAGTGAAGACTCTACTTTTT